CAACCATGCAGTACACCTGCCATAAACAACAGTGTTAACCATGGGATGCATTCATCCAGATGAAGATATTAAGAGAAAGAGATACAGTGTATACATATATATATCAAACAACTGTATGCGTACAAAATATAAGTACTGATGTAAACAATTCAGATCCATATATAGATCATTAAGCTCCTGCTCTTATTTTAGTTGCTGCAAATTGTCAATGCTAAACTGTTATGAATATTGATTTCGCTATTTCAATTTGGATCAGAATTGCGACGCAAGTACAGAAACATTGTCCTATAGGCGAAACAGAGTTGAAACATAAAAGCTTAGCTACCAATATCAGCATTGCATCTATTACCCCCTTGACAAAGCAGATACGGTTGTAAGAGGAAGTAAGAACGAGTCAAAGTACAAGAAACCATAAGTCATTATTCCCTTCATTGATGAGTCAAAGTACACACATCAATTCTGAGGTTCTGGAAGTAAGAACGAGTAAGAGGAAGGACAAAGCAACTACTCATTTTCCCTTGCTTGATAATTTAGATGCCCTGATTACTGAATGTTGGAGTCCTTATAATTTCATACACATAGAGGCTTGAGAGACAGTTCTGTACCCTGAGTTTCTTGCTTCCTGTTGTATACTGTGGTGGGATGAGGGAAGACAGCTCACACAATGGCCTAGTGAGGGCTGAATAAGTTGGATGTTCAATCGCCCTGTAAAAATAAATATGCAATGTTTATATTGCTTAAAATAACTAACTTTTTGCTGGCACCAACGTTGATACTGATGTGTAAGAGACAGATTAAGCACACCATATATGGGAATCCTTGACACAAGTTAAAATGTCAAGGTTTGGAGCTCGCGGATGGCACCAAGATGCAACACTGTGACAAGACATTTTCGGAACAGGTTTGATACGCCGCAACTCCTGCATTTGTGCAAAAGAATACGAGATAAAGGGAATCAAAAGATGAATAAAGTTTGTGCAAAGCAAATTTGTGTCTACACAGCACCTTGAAAGACATTGTGTCCCATATAGCTAATGTCTTATCAGCACCAATTGTAATAAGTTGTGGAGCACCTCCAATTACTCTAGAAAGCTCAACAGCTACAACCCCGCCATCATGTGCCTTTGGCAAGATTAAACAAGTGTAAGAATACCAGTCTGGCTTGTACAAAGAACACAATTGAATTTAGCACAATAAGAATGTACACGAATTAAATACTTCAAGCAGAACATGCTTATATTATATCCAATCAAAAAATATAAAAGGTACATAGACATGAAATCCTACATCATTTTCTGGGGTACCTTCACAAACAATATTGAATATTGAACAATACCCTTAAATCCAAGAAGGTAATGCATTCTTGTTTGAACCACAAGCTACAGATGAGATTCCGGAACTAGAATGATAAGACAAGAAAGAGGAAGCTACCCACCTTTAAACTTAGCTTGGGCACAAGCTCCCTTGAATCATGAACGTGGTCAGCACTCCAAAGTACAAGTAGACCATCACTACCACCCGAAACAAGTAGCGCCTAGTCAAATTAATTGCAATCATGGGTAAATAATTCCGAGTTATAGATCAATATGAGCTCATATGAGAGCACAGATGTGAAGCATGCAGGATACATTCTTTAGTGCTAAGCATGATTCCAAATATATATATATATATATATATATATATATATATATATATATATATATATATATATATATATCAAAATGAATGCAGCATTGGAATGAAAGAAGTACCTCACCGGAGGAAGCCATGAAGGTCATTAAGCAAGCTATGGCACCTTTATGACCTCCCGTGTATCTACGTACAAGCTGCAACAAACAATTATCGATTACTGAAAGCAGCATGTATTTGCAACACGAAAAGCAATTGTATCTTCTGTCCTTCCTTATTTCTGGGTTCAAGAAGCCACAAACCTTCCACGAGATCATCGAAAGAACTCTAATAACACCATCTGATCCACCAAAAGCAACCAGAGGACCTTCACCAGCAGTGGATCTACAGAGGAACTCCATACTGTAGAGGGGGGAAAGACAGCATTACCGAATCAGAGTTCGCTGTATGATACATATGGCAGCAGTCTGAAAGAAAGCCTAGCAGCTGATTATACATTCACAATCAAGCAAAAAGTATATAAAAGCGAAAATCGGAAAGGGCATTCGTACTAAAGGAGAACCATATATTTATCATGTTGCATATTCTTCAAGCACGAGAAGAATATGTTTCACATTTTTCATTGAGACAGCACAAACCCTATTTGACTTTGGAAACTAAATTATATGCTAATTGGAGCAAACGAGCAGGCTCTGGGAGCATAAGCGCAAATAAATGAAATAACAAAGAAAGCCAAAGGACTTTCTGTACTACGAGTTACCAGAGAAGTGATCGATTGTCGAGCTCTTGCTTGGGTACATCACGGCCACGCATAGTCACCAAATCCAAAAATATTGCTTTATTTTCACAACAGATGACGAGAAAATGCCTCCCTTTGGTTGAAGGAGCCGGGGAAGTGAATGTAGAAGTGACATTATTGACAGCGGAAGGAGCCTCCGCAGCTGCACCTCGGTTTCTCCATAATTGCCAAAACCGTACATCATCATCATAAAAATTCACCTGCTTAACACTTATCCAAAAGAACAGAAATAAAACCTTCATCAAACATGAGATTAAGTAAACTACAAAGAATGAGCAATAGCGAACACGGTTGTTTAGGCATTGATCTAGTTACCTGCCACCTCTCATGGCTTCAGTAGGTTTCCCTCGGGGCTCTGTCAAATCAAAGCACATTACTTCCTAGCTCATGGAGTTACAATTACGCACACCTAAATTCAAAATTCACATTGGGCATAACTCACCGGATTCGCCCTCGGCGAGCTTCTCCAACTTGGCGCCGACCAAACGCCTCTCGTCCACACCACCGGCTTTGAGCTCATAAATGATCTGAAATGCGAAATCGCCGGCGATATTGCTCGGGTCAAAAGAAGGGCAAGGACAAGTGAGGAGAACGATGCATATTGAAATTGTTGAGAGGTGATACCTGGCGGTGCTCCCAATTCCAGACGGAGACGCGATCGGTAGCGTCGGCGGTTACAAGCCATGGATGCGTGGGATGCAATTGAATCTTCAAGATCTTGTCGTGGTTCGGCCTGAATGCTTTCAGCCGCAACATCTTCTTTCTCTTCTTCTACTGCTCCTTTCGATCCGGAGGAAAGGCCGGCGGGCCTCCTGGTTTGTTGAGCTCCGATCTAGGAGCAGAGGGCATAGAAATGATTCGATTGTGTTCAGTAGGAAGCAAAGAGTGTGCTTGGGAAATGAAATACGAGATTAACGGTAGAGAGAGAGATTGCGAAGCTCCAAATCCCGAATCTACAAATTTCGTTATTTTTCTCAGCGCTGGTTTTCCTGTTCGACGAAATATGTTTTGTTTGAATCTCGAACTTATTTATTAGGTAGGGTGACTCCAATTATTAAAATATAATATATTTAGTCACTCTAAGTATTGAAACATGTCCGGTTAGCCTCCATCCACTAAATGTGACTTGTTTCAGTAATTCGAGTGACCAAAATTTATATTAAATTTTTTAGTGACTAAACATAACATGATTTAGTAATCTCAATGACCAAATGTGACATTTACCCTCATTTATTAAGGGACCGATTGCTATGACAACAACCCTTGTGTTGTTATTGTAACAACACTAGTCCCCAACCAATAGGAAGCTAGGATTGTGATGACTTTTTATTAGATGAGTTGACCTAGTGTAAAATCAAAGCAGGGGTATAATTGTTATTATGAAAATATGTTTAAATAATAATATAAAATATAAGAAAAATAAAAAATATTTTTTTATTTTCGGCCCAGAATTTTGGTCGTCGGAATTCGGCTACCGGTCGCCGAAATCTGGTCGTGGTCACCGGAATATGCTTTCTATCGCCGGAATATGCTATTTTGTCATCGGAATATGCTCACTGCCGCCGGAATAAGCTCATCGTGGTCGGAATATGCTTACCAGCGTCGGAATCAAGTCATCGGGGCCGGTATATGCCTATCGGCGCCGGAATCTACTCACTGACGGTCATCGGAGTTTGGTCAACGGCCAACGACCACCGGATATTATGGTCTGCATTGTGAGATTTATGATTTGTTTTCTCATATTTTTGTATGCCTTTTGTGGTTTGCTTTATCGTGTTTGTGGTTTGCATTGAGAAGTTTCTAGTTTGCTTTATCGTGTTTGTGGTTTGCATTGAGAAGTTTCTGGTTTGCTTTCAAAAAATTTGTGGTTTGCATTGAGGGGTTTCTGGTTTGTTTTAATATATTTGTGGTTTGCATTAGGACGTTTATGGTTTGCTTTTTTCTGGTTTGATTTACTGTGTTTGTGGTTTGCATTAGGAGGTTTCTGGTGTGCTTCGCAAATGTTGTGGTTTGCTTTATGAGGTTTGTGATTTGTTTTAGGAGATTTGTGATATGCGTTCGGAGATTTCTGGTTTGCATTAAGAAGTTTCTGGTGTGCTTTCCTAACTTTTGTGGTTTGCTTTGCGAGGTTTCTGGTTTGTTTTAATATATTTGTGGTTTGCTTTGCGAGGTTTCTGGTTTGTTTTAATAGATTTTTTGTCTGCATTAGGACGTTTCTGGTTTGTTTTTGTGGTTTGTTTTATCGTGTTTGTGGTTTGCATTATGAGGTTTCTGATGTGTTTTTGAAAATTCTGTGGTTTGCTTTGTGAGGTTTCTGGTTTGTTTTAAAGCATCTGCGGTTTGGTTTAGGAGGTTTCTGGTATGCTTTTTATGATTTGTTTTTGGTGATTTGTGGTCTGCATTAGAAGGTTTATAGTATGCATTTTCTATTTCCCCCCTTTTTGTCCAAACCCTAATTGCTGCGAGCGAAGTCGAACTCTTACACACCATTCCCGAATTATTAGAGATAAATCTCACGTTGGGGATGGACTTCTTCTTCTTCGCTATAAAAGTGGTGTCGATGCTTCAACTTTCCCTACACTTATTTTATATCTCGTTCTCCTCCTCTCTTTTTTCTTCTTCTTATTCTTCTTCTTCTTCTTCTTCTTCTTCCCACCTAGTGCCCGTTCATACATACAGAGATGAAAATTTTGAAATTCGATCCATCCTTGTTCAAGCTTCTCTTCCAAAGTCGGAAGCAAATGGCGTATGGGCTTCCGCGGATCCCACTAGCGTCATTGCTAGTTTTGGCTCCGGTTCTCGTGGCAGCAGCCGCTCAATTTGAGGTACATTTTCCTTGTGCATGCTCTGTTCGGAGTCCGGTGTGATCGTAGATTCAAAAATCACCATAGTTCCGATTGTTTCTGTGGCGCTTTTTCCTTTGTTACCTCCTCTCCTCTGTTTCTTAGCTATAGTGGCGCATCAAAGCTTAAAATCAATCATTCGATTTGGTAGGTAGAACTCTGTTCGAGGTGATTAAATCGGTTGGTTTCACAATCTTATATATGCTCACTATCTATCTTCACAGGAAGGAGGAATCGCAGGAGCTGCTGCAGAGCTGGAACAAGAATTCATCAATTTTCAGGGGGAGATGCTGCCAAATGAGCATGTTGTGGACAACCCTTTTGTTGTCTTGGTGTATCCTTGCCTGACGGTGTCGCTGTCGTGGCAGAGGCGGTCGAAGAAGAGGAACCGCCGGAGGCCGTACTTCCAGCCGAACCTCGACAGGCAAAGGAAGGAGAGACTGGCGACGCCGGTGAGGAAATAACGCCGCCGCCGTGTAGCGCCAGGCCGTCCACGTTCAGCAACGCCGCCGTCGCGATCCACAGGCGAAGCGCTTGCTGTTCCTGCCAGCGACGTGGAGTGGTCAGAAGGTGCATATTGGGCGGCGCGGCACTGGGGGAGTATTGGAGGAGAAGGAGCGATTCACGCGAGGAAGGAGATCTGCTAAATATTAATTTTTTTATTTGTTAGATATTGTGTTAATTGGACCCTTTTACCCTTGTTGTTATAGCCTTGTTGTTACTATAACAACAAAGGAGGTGTTGTTATAGTATCCGCTCCAATTTATTAATGAGTGTTAGAACTTAGAACCATCTCATTGTAAACTAATGTGATGATTTAACATTGTAGCTAATGAGCCAACACGACGATTGATTTATAAGCAAATTGGTCTATATCTTATAAGTTGACTTTGTGATAATTTCTTTTATGAATGAACTTCTTGATAATTCATAAATTTGTTAAACGATATATCTCGCCTTATATTATGTTTAAGATCCCATGGCTTTTGTTAGAGGAAAGATTGTAAACACTGTATCTCAACCTCTTCGTTCTTCCATCAATAGTTTCCTTCACCCAGTTAGAACTCATCAGTCATCACTCTTCTCCTTCCTCTCTTTGCTTTGTTCTGGTGGCCAAGATGTCAATGATTCGTACTTTACTAGTTGTTGCTTCTTTTTGTGGGTGGCCTTTGTCTCATTTGGACATGAAGAACGCATTATTGCATGGGATTTAAAGAAGGTGGTCTGCCTGGAGCGATCTCCTGGCTATACTCTTGGTACTCCTAATCAGGTGTGTCTCCTTCATCGTTCCTTGTACGGGCTCAAGCAAGTGCGTCGTGCCTAGTTTGACAAATTTCACTCCACTATTCTACAAATGGGCTAGTTGTTCTACTTCTTTACGTGGATGATATGGTCGTTACGGGGGATGATGCAACTAGTATTCGGCACTGAAGCGTGGTCTCGAGTCTGCCTTCAGCCTGAATGATTTTGATGAGTTGTCCTACTTCCTTGGTTTGAGGTTAATCGCAATTATGAGGGTCTTCTTCTTAGTCAACAAAAATATATTGGTGATTTGTTGAGTGATCACAACTTTGAGGAGTATACCCATGGAGGTGAATTTGAAGCTTAGTAGGGCATCGGGTGATCTGTTAACCGATGATTCTACTATCTAAGCTTGGTTGGTAGTTTGATTTATCTTTTGACGACTCGTCTGAACATTTCTTATGCGGTTTAGATCCTCAGTCAGTTTATGGCGGTGCCTCTAGTGGACCATCTTGCTGCCCCTCACCAGATATTATGGTACTTATAGGGTAAGCGTGATGTCGAAATTTTTTTCCTTCGACTGGCTCACACGCTCTTCGTGCATTTTTCGACTATGATTTTTCAAGTTGTGTTGACAAGCCCCGCTCCACTATTGGTTGGTTGTCCAGTTTGGTGGCTCTTTCATCTCTTGGCGATGTAAGAAACAGGATAATGTATCGAAATCCTCTACTGAGGCGGAGTATTAGCGATGTCGGATGTTTGCTCTGAGTTAGTTTGGCTTCGTCGCCTGTTGGGTGAGATGGGTGTTTCATGTTCCCTTCCTTTGGAGCTATTTGTGGACAATACGTGCGTGATCCAGATTGCCACCACCCTAGTGCTTCACGACCGTACGAAGCATTTTGAGCTACATGTGCATTATGTTCGAGACTTGGTGTGTGATGGGACTATTCAGTTACACTATCTCTGGAGTGAGGATCAGCTGGCAGATCTCTTCACCAAGTCCTTCACTAAAGCTCATCATTGGTACTTGTCTAGCAAATTGATGCTTCATTACTTGTATCAATTTAGGAGAGGCTGTTGAGCCATGTGTGTCAATTTGTATGTAGTAGTATGTGTTTGTAGTGGACTGTAGCTAACGTCTGGGTTAAGCTCATTTCTTAGTGGGCTGGTTTCAGCCCATGCATTAGGCAAAGCGGAACCGTGCTAGGGTTTGGGGTTTATGAGTTATATGTGTGGGTGTGTGTAATTGGCTAGAGACTAAGCAGACCTAGTGGATTTTCAGTCTTGGAGAGTTCTAGCTCTCTAGTGGATTAGTCCTATCATTTTAGGGATACCATGTTCAAACGTTTTGCGTTCTTTAAATTTTTTTAAGTTAACAGAAGACGTTAAGGTCCAGCTGTTGGAAGTTAGAAACGACTATTGGAGCTCCACCCCCTAATTCTCGTATCCAGGTAGATGAGGGAAAGCCATAATGGTGTGAAATTTAGTCCACCAAAAATCCTAAATGGCGCCTCGGGCGCCTTTTCTTAAAGGTTCCATATCAGCTCAGGATAGTGTGAATATGCTCTACTTGGAGGCTAATGTGGATATGAGCTAGAGGGATTAGGCCATAAGAGTTTCACTCCTATTATCTCTCTCATAACGCCTTATAAAATAGGCAATACATGGACCCTCTCGGCTAGCATTCGAGATAGAAGTCATGCAAAGGGTTATTTTGTTGGTAAAACAACTTACCAGTCCATAAACAATGAGAAAACTCGAGGGTAGAACGGCCACATATATGGTGACATAGGCGCCATTTTCCTATTATGGTTGTCATTTTTCGTATTTTGTTTGAGTCCTTATTATGTTTATTGTAGTTTGATGTCTACAATTGGACAAATGTGAGAGGAATGAAGCTCTTATGTACTTTTGCATCAAATGCAATACACGTTTTGAAAGCAACCTTTATACATAATAGACATATGCAAATCGTATTGTTGGCTGACCCACGTGTCTCTCTAGCACGGAACCCACGAATAGGTCGTCATAGGGAGGCTAGCAGGACATAGAAGCATAGTGGATTTAAGATCCATTTTGGACTCATTCAATCACATATGTTACCAATTATCAAATTGAAGCGAGTCTGCGGAGACTCCAGGGGAAACTTGCCTATATAATGCATTTCTTTTATGTTTTCCCTTGTCTAGTAGTTTAATTTAGCGTTACTTTTCCTTTTGATTTTCAACATAAACTCAGAGTAACCTTAACCCCTGATGCACCTTACTCTCTACAATTCGTTTTAAAACCCAAAGTAGGTCCCTTATTGACTAAGTACAGAGTTGTGAAAGGCCTGAAGAAAATACGATCATGATTACCAACAAGATAAATTTGACCCCTATTATACAACATATCACCTTCCATATCGAAAAGTGCTCCTCTAGGAAGGACTAAGAGAGTGGGTCTCGTTGAAAAGGTACCAAAAAGGAGACATTTGTCGTTCAGTAGTTGAGTTGTGTTCATATGTGAATGAAAAAAATTACTAGATGTAATCTTTGGTTGTGTGATACCAGGGAGATTACATACCTTAGAGAAAAAGAAATCAGTTAAGGTGCATGTGATTATGTCCCCCATGGTTCAGAGCTATCAAATTTCCATGGATAACTGTGGATACTCAAAATCTGATTGGGTACAAGTATGATTTTGATATTATGATTGTTGCATGGGTATGGGTAAGGGTAAAATTCAAACTATTTTGGGGAGACTAATAGATATGCACTATGTGCTTCTTAACTGATCTGTTGTCATCCCTAGTTGGGTGTAATAGACCTAGAAAGGTCAACTTGGCCACTTCCATACAGACCCAATCGTTAACCGGTCCCTATGAACGATGTCTAGTGGACCTTGACCTCATTTCATATGATAGGCCGATAAACGATTCATGCCCGACCTTTTCAATTAGTACATGAGAGGGTCCAACTAGGGACGACAAACAAGTGGGGTGGGGCGGGAATGAGATACCCGCACCAAGCATGAGTCGGGTCAAGTAATATTCGCGCGAGTACGGGTGGATCGACCCATTCTGACATGTTATTTGAAGAAAATAAACAAAAAAAAAATTCTTTTATGATAAAACAAAGTAAAAACACTTTATGAATGAAGATAATGATATTAGAATGAAAAATTGAGTCTGAATAATTAAAAGATCAAGTTTTACACATATTTAAAGTTTATCATGTGAATATCATTGAAAAAATCAAAACAGGAGAAATAAAAAACGCTATCAAAGAAAAGTGAGATAGTAGAGGTAAAAAATGTGGCGGGGTGGGCAAGTCGAAAGTATTAACGTAGGCCCCGTCCCACAACCATGCTATAGCGGATCACATAATACTCAACGGGGCAAGTTCAAATTGCGTTAATGTGGCGGGGTGGGCAAGTCGAAAGTATTAACGTAGGCCCGTCCCACAACCATGCTATAGCGGATCACATAATACTCGATGGGGCAAGTTCAAATTGCGTTCACCTGGCTGTCTTGAGGGATGATAATTTCGACCTGACCAGACCTGTTTAGAGACAGAGCGGACAGACATAGGTACTCTTCTCGATCTGACTTGTCCTGACTACCCATTATCAACCCATTTTTGCCTACACTAAATGTAATTTTTCTCAAATAATTAAGATTTTCAATTTTATTACCTCTATAATGAAGTTGTGAATACGTGAGAATCTCAATTTCGTAAATAATTTAACTATTTGTCTTTTTGGGTTTTTACTTTTTAGTGACAAGAATAATAATTTTCCTTTAAATTAGATTGGCCTTAACAGCGGCCCAGTGTAGACCCAGAAAAAATGAACTGGGCCTGAGTAGAAAATGGGCCACTCATCGGCCGAGAAAGCACAGTCCCGATACTGATTTTTATTTATTTTATTTATAATAATCACAGTCCTGATCGACTGCAAAACACACCGCGGGAGGCCAAGGACGAGATTAAACGAGGAAGAAAACAGAATGAGGATTGGAGGAGGAATGGTGTATGGAGCTCCACGCGCCACTTCTCTGCTCCTTGGTCACGGCATCAGCCGCCGGCCGACGCTACGCTGCTTCTCCGCCGCCGCTTCTCCTTCTCCTACTCCATCGCTTCTATTTCCCGGTGGGGGGGATCTTGGTTGCGTGTCGAATCAATCATCTTGCAGTTCTTCTTTCAGTTGGATTCTGTCTCCGTCTAATTTTGTCGTTTCGGAGCTTTCCTTGCAGACCATACGGAATTCATCAGAGATGTAGCAGCGATTCAGCCTCCCAAGCATTTGCCCCACTTAATGAGAATGCTCCGCACCAGAGGTAAAACCTTCCTGTACTTTTCAGCAGTGTCCTGTTTAACGGGAAGTATGCCATTTGTGGCTTCACTATTGAGAAATCCCATATGAGTAATCGAGCTACTTTTTATGTCAATGGTAATGGGTGAGTTGTGAATTTCCCATCCCCTGGGCTTCTGGGTTTTGGGAGTTTCCATTTGAAAATTGCATGTTGTAGAGCTGAGTTGGTCTCCCAATTATCAGGGGATATTCATGAACTAGAACTGTTGTACACTTTATGTTTCTATTAAGTTGTTGACAATGAAGTAGATTCCATTTTCATGTTGCAAAACAGGTGATTCTATTGTTTCACCTGGAGACAAGCAAGGGTTAATCCCGCTTGCTATTCCACTTGCGAAAACTAGCTCAGGTATGGTTGAGTTTTGTTGTCCCAGCGAAGTTGAAGGTTGCTAGTGTTGACAAAGAAAGTTAAAAACTGAAGCTTCTGACTGGGAGTTTGATTTAATGTTAAGGATAGATGATTTAATTGCATTGCTGAGATGGCCAACTGCGCCGCCTGGGTAAGAGATTGCAAAAGCCCCTACACCCTTGACGTTGCTTACACAACTATAATTGTTGCTGTGATCGTGTTTATAATTCTTCACGTGGTACTTTCAGGATGGAAATGCCGGTAGTAGAGGTTCGAAAATATGGAGTTTGGCTTCTGGCGAAGACGGTATGTAGCTTTCGGATATATGGGAATCATGGGTCTACCCTTCTCAATACTGAAAGTTTATGCTCTTCTTCAACAGGTTGATCAGTTCATCCACAGAATCTTGGTAGAGGAGGATGCCAATTTGCTTTACAAATGCAACGATGAGATATTTGATGTGGCAGCGGATGCAGGGGAGAATCTATATACCAAGGGTGACTTTGCTAAATCTCAGATTTCTGATCTAGATGTTTATCTGTTAAAGAAGGTACCCCCTTTCATGTACTATAAAATATAAATGTGTACATAAGCAGATAAATAATCTAAACTGCTGCTAAAATCGGTGGTCTCTTAAACAGGTTGGCTTGTTTCCTGATGTCCTGGAGCGCAAAATTATGCGCCATTTCGAGAAAGGGGACCAGGTAAGATACTTCAGTAGGTTTTTATTTGCCTCTAAAAAATATGTTAATGTACTGACGTTGTTTGCTTCTGTAAGGTTTCTGCTTTGGTTACTGGGGAATACTATACAAGGAAAGAGCACTTTCCTGGATTCGCAAGGCCCTTTGTATTCAATTCCAAGATATTGCTCAAGTTTGTGACAGAATTTCCTCTGCTTGCTTCTCCTCCAAACTTTATTATGGATGGTTTTTGTTTAGCTGCATAGTGTTCAAGGCTTCTCTATCCGATGGATCTATTCCCTTTTCTGATTTTAGGGTTGGGCGTACGCTAGAAGCTAAAGATGCAGCCAGGGGTGCTTTGAAGTCACCATGGTGGACTCTTGGTTGCCCTTACAAGGTATTATACCCCTTTTAGATGGTTCATTGTGCCTTCTTTCATTGTTCCAGTTGTTGAAAAGGCCAACTTTCTTTCTTTATTTCTTTCTTTCTTCGTCTTCTTCTCCAGGAAGTCGCTGAGATAGCAGAATGGGAAGATGAGCAGATTGAGTACATGCAAGAAAGAGTAACAGAAGATGGAAGGCAACAAGACCTTAACAAGGGGAAAGATCCTGCTCAGGTCATTTAGAAACCAAAGCTATTGCCTATATTGTACAACTGACAGAAGAAGCTTTTGACACTTAGTTTTCTTTTTCTTGTTGAATTGATCTTCTTCCATCATCTTCTGGATTCACAGATTGTCCTGGACGAGGCAGCGTTCTTACTGGACTTGGCTTCCATTGATGGTAGTTGGGACAATTACTTGGACCGGATTGTCGGCTGTTATAAGGAGGCTGGTCTTCATGATGTTGCCAGATTCTTGGAGTACAGAGACTGAGAGTTGAGTGTCAAAAGAGAAATTTTCTTCTCTCTTCATGTTAAGATTACACACTGCGAACTCTTTTCGTTTTCGATAATACACAATGCAGAGTTCAATTACAACCGGATATGTTCCCTTCTGCAAGGTCTTTGGAAACTACTTTCCAGGCAGCTTTTCCTTATTTTCTCACATCCAGACGCGCCAATACAAGAAAAGGACCCAACAAGCTGGGCTTCAATGTTCGTATATCTACAGAAGCAATGCACAAAGCTCAGGCCAAACAAGCCAAAGAAGAAAATAAAGGCAACTCCATCTCTGCAAGGGGTAGAGAAATCACTTGGGGAATGCAATGGGTGGTTTCTGGCCAGCGGCGGATTTTTTCTTCTTCCTTAGCAACTTCCTCCACAGCCCTCCGATTCCATGTTTCCGGCCAGGCACAATGGCCAGGCTGTTAACGGTAACACCATCATTGTCGTTGTGGTGTTTGCTTTTGTTCAAATTGAGGGTCTTTTCTAAGGGTTCGGATGCTGCGGTAGCTGTGGCTTTAACACTGTCCTCTGCTAGCATCCGGTCTAAGAGCGACGACCTCTGATTCGTCAACGTTGCCCTGGGTGTGGCGCCAGTGGCAGTGTTGGGGGTTGTATTTACTTCGTCTGGCTTAGAGACGACCTTGTCGATTATAGCAGCGTCGTTTGGTGAAGCTAATGCCTTCAGCTGCTTCCCCAGGTTCAGGATGGTCTCTTGGCACTCTGCCAACTTTTCTGAAGCTGCTGCTATCTCCCAATTCTGCATGATCGATCATAATTTCTTAAGACACAAGTTTCACGAGTGGGAAGTTTTTTATTAGCAGGAAACTTAAATCAGTGAAGAGGATCAAAGTTTCTCAAATTAGTTACACTTTCTGATTTCGATAATTAATGTGGCTCTTAGATGGATTTATCTGCAGAGCAAAAAATATCTCAACTTGGATTATGGAATGAACTTACAGTTCGAAGCTGATCTTCAGGATGGACTTCACTTTTAGGGGTCGTGTTCTCTGTCACACTAAGAATGGAAAACACAAAAACATGTGAGATCTATTAGAAATAGATGCACTTACTAATAAGCTCCACCGATGAGAATGAAACCCAGAAAAATATATCTTCGAGTGATATTCAGGATAGCTACTGCACCTTTCAAGTTGGAGTTGCAAGTCAACACAAGTGGCCTCCAAATCCTCGCAGCAGCTATTTCTGTTATCCAGTTCCACTTCCAAGGAAGAAAGCTTTCGGCGAGCCTCACTTAGTTCTGCCTTGGCCATCACTAGTTGAGTATCAAGATCTTCTTTCATCACCCTATGAGCCTCAATTTGATTCTCAATAGATCCCCTCGATCCTCCTACATTATCAAGCTCCGATTGCAAGCTTGCACTGGTTTTCTCTGATTCCTGAACTTGAAGCTTCAAAGATTCACTCTTCTCAGTCGCTGACTTCAGTCTTTCTTCCAAGGCATCCTTGGCAGTTATCATATCAGCCAAGCCTGAGTTGAACTTCTTGCCTTCATCCTTCTCATTGCCGATAATGCCAACCTCTCTGTGATCACATTCGCTTTTCGAATCCCAATCAAAATGCTTTTTTATTGCTTCCTTCATGCTTGACACATCTTGAAGTGAGAAGCAATGGTTTATGATCCAGTCAAGAGCAGACATGAGTTCCTGAGCAAACTTGGTCATGTTACATTTGTCGCTCAACAGATCATAGCATACATGAATAAATTGCTGCAATACAGCACTCAGCTCAGAGGTTTTCCACTGGAAAACACGGACCGTGTAACCCATTGTCATATCTGTAGTCTTATAAGGAAAAGAACTAGAATCCTTGCTTGACACGGACTCGGAGTTATCGGTGTAGCCTGGATTCTGTCTAGCAATACCTTCTACCAGCTCTAATATCTTTGACACAGACTTTCCCAGTTCAGAATGAGGGACATCAATGTCATTTGCTGCACCATTAAAGTCAGTGGTATCAGTTTTATCTTTGGATTTCCATAAGAGATATCCACTAATGGGAGTGGAAGAGTTCACTGGAGTACCATCAGCATCTTTAGTGGGACTTATAGTCTCTACATTTGCCAAAGCTACTCTTATGTCCTCCAGAATTTCATCAGGCTTTCTCTTTGTGACTCGGTTTTGCTCCCGCACCAGTTTAAGAATTTCCTGAAGCCAATCAGGAGCTTTCGCACTTGGAGTATCACTGGATTGCCTTAAACCAGAATCCAATACTGGAACAATCTCCATTCCAGTTACCCTTTCGATAAGATCGGGTTTGAAGGGGCTAATCACTGCACTGCTATTGCTAGAAGAAAGTTGAGGACTTCCAGGCTGCTGCTTATCCACTGAGACGATTGCAAGTCTTTCCATTTCAGCAAAATCATCCATCAGATCCATGTCCGGAGCACCAATACTTTTTCTGGACAATGAGCCATTCTTTTTACCATGCTTGGAGTGTTCCGGTTCTGAAGTCAAGGCACAAGGCCAAGATTCAGCAGAGCTAACCTTATCATCACTACCAGCTTCAGACACCGAGCTTAGTGAGATATCATGGGGCACAAGACCCAGCTTTGAGAGCTCCAAGGATGTTCGCCACTTGGGCGATTCATAAATGCGCGAGTCGACCGGTGGTGATAATCTGGAAGCTGCACGAGCAAACATAGCTCTAGAAGATTGAAGCTCGCTCTCCTTTTTACCGAGTGCTTCAACGAGAGCCTTGTTCTGTTCTTCCACAGCACTCAACTGCTCAGTCAAATTGTTAATGGCTTTGGTGGCCGACTTTTCATCAGCGTAATCATCCATTATCAAACCAGAACCAGTAACTGACCTTCTCCTCCTCGATTCAACTGAATCCCTCCCCAGGATTTCCGCCTCACTCCTCATTTTCGCCATGGAAGCCGGGCCTGGCAGTCTCTTCCGGACAAGGAGGCGCAGCCTCTGGCATTCCGATTCCAACTTTGCAATCTTCTTCACGCTCTCCAGATGTTGCTTGTGCGACGCATCAGCCGTCCTTCTGCTGAATTCCCTCTCCTCATTCCGAATCTCCAGCTCCTTCTCCAAAACCCTAACCTCATACTTGAGAGAACCGTTGTCCTTCTCCGTGAACTCCAAGCTGACGCTTAGATCTTTCAAGTCGGATTCCAGCTGAGCCTTCTGCTTACTCAGCTCTTCGATCGTCTTCTCCTTCGCCAATAGAGCTTTGCTGAGCTGAGTATTCTCAACCCCGAGCTTAGCAAGCCTTTTGCCCGTCTCGGCCAGTTTTTCTTCGAGGATCATTCGAGACTCGTCAAACTCCATGGAAGCTTTGGTCACTGCATCGTGAATCCTCCTCTCCTGCTCTTCTCTCACAAAGCGGAGCTGTTGCATACACTCCTTTAGAGCGGCATCCAGCTGCGTTGATCTCTCCTCCCCCGCAGCTCTCTCCTGTAAAGCCTCGTCCAGTTCTTGCTTCAGAGACTTTCCTCTTGCTTCTGCCCTCTCCCGGCCTTGCACAATACAAAAAAAAAAGTAGAGAGATTAGAGAAGCTCCGTGAACTGCACTAAAACAGGGGAAGAGAGAGAGAGGGAGAGAGAAATCACCTTCCATGGCTTCTTTTGCTGTTTTGGCATGATTTGTGGCAAGACTATGTTTAGCATTGGAGTCCAAGAGAGCGGAATCGAGCTTCTCGTTCAAAATTCTGATGTTGTACTCCAACTCCTCCTTTTCCGTCAAAAGGTTCTGTATCTGAAAGCGGAAGAAAAATTAACGAACCAAAACAAAAACCACCATTACTGGCCGAAGAAAGCCTGTATCATCATCCAAATTCCCCAAAAAAATCTTCAGAAAACAGACATTCGGCACTCTGCAGCCACGATCATGCATCTGTCATAATGGAAGCAGAAAAGGGGAACGGAAACGGAAATTTTGTGTTTTACCTCATCGTCGTCAGGTCTGAGAGGGAGGCCCGACTTTTCAGCAGCAGCGGCGCTCGGTTTCTCGCCGGATTTCTTCCGCCACAACCAGCCTTTACTTTGACTCTCCATGGCCCGCAAGTTTTGCTTCTCACGCGCGCCGCATCTGCCGCAATAGAAACAAAAAAAAAAAAAAAACAGTAAGAACGCAAGAAAAAGACACAGCAAGAACGAACAAACAAACAAACAGGGGAAGGGAAAAGCAAGCTCCGGTGGCGAGGCGGAATTCGGCTCCGGTGAAGCGAATCAGGTAATGCATGAAGTTGCGTTGATCACCTGAAAGAGCGAGGTAGAGCGGCGTAACATGCGGAAGGGAAGGGAGCTGGGGGGAGTGAGAGAGGGAAGAGACGAATGCGGGAATGGTGCCGGTAGAGTCCTGCCGACAAATTAAAGGCGCGGGAACCAGGGGAAGTCAGAGAGAGAGAGAGAGAGAAGGGACGATTAAAATCACAGCTAAGAGAGTGATGGAGTGAGTGCAGAGAGTAAACGGGGAAAAGAAGAAAAAAAAAGAAATGGAAGCTGTGGAGAAAGGTCGGGTCGGCTAGGCAGAGACGAGAGAGAAAGGGTGGAGGCGGAACGGAAGAATGCGCGGATTTTGTGTGGGGGAAGGAAGGAGGAGGACTACGGAGGCGGGCAGTGAATACAAATAGTGATGAAGCAAGCTAAGCTGAGTACTATTGAAAGAAAGAGAAGATGTGGGGCCGGTCGGGTGAATTTTATTTTTAGTTTTCCAACCGTGGTTGATTGTCAAACGCGACACGCGAGCGGTAATCTGGCTTTCTTTTCCTTTTATTTATTTATTTATGAAGAAGTCATGGATTCCAGCAGTAAGACAGCAGCAGTCCGAGTCAACCAGCCATATTTCAGTTCGAATGGAGGCCTTAACCGCCGGTTCGACGAGAGTGGATAGGGTGCTAACACCCTTAGTATCATACTAACACATTCATTAAAAATATTTTAATATTTTAATCCTTCTCTCTTTCCCTTTTCCTTTCCTTCTTTCTCCACTTCCATTACGACACCATTAAGACCAGCGGCGGATCCAGAACATAGAAGAGCACTGGGCCGAGTTTTATTAGAAAATTGAATAGTAAAAAAACATAATGATTATAGTTTTTTTCCAATGTAAATTGTACACGACGGTATTTTAATTTAGTGATGCATCAATAATGGAGCCTACATCCATACCAATAGTATACATTATTTCAAATAAAATACTTGAGCAATCGGCAAGAAATTCATCGCTCATTTTATTGAGCAAACCAGTTCTCACATATTTCATTGTTGAAAAGGTTCTCTTCATAGTAGCTGTTGAAACGAGCAGCATTAACACTAGACAAATCAATGGACTAATCAATTGGCATTGTGTGTCAATCCTTGCATCCACCAACTGCTCTAGTAAGTTTTCAAGGGAACAAACCTCATATTTCTTTTAAACTTTTACGTTTTAAACTTTTAGAATTTTAGGTTTCGTTATTTTTTTTATATGCATAATCTTTGGGGCTAAAATTTAAAGGCTAAATTTAGAGTAGTGATTTGAATATGGTCATCTGAATCATTTTTCTAGTTATACCCAATTTTATTATAAAATCACACTAAGCCAAATGCCTAAAATCGAAAAATTCATAAGGACTATACTAACTACGGATCCAGATGAGGGCTGGGCCGGGGCCCGGGGTGGCCACCCCCTGGATCCGCCACTGATTAAGACTGCATCACAGTGCTCGGAGGTGATGAAGATGCCATAGATGTGCGGTTTGGAATCTTGAAGGAGTTGATGCTTAGACCTTGTCAAGCAAGCCAATGAAGTAAGTTGGGGATGGCCAAGTGAGGGCAACATCTTTCCCAAGTGACAGGCGTAAAGGGCGAGGGAGCAAGCACGGGCGGTGCTAGTGGAAATCATTCGAGACTAGGAGACCAATGCAGGTGAAGTGATGGCAAATGGCCCATGTTGGGGTTCGTTGGCCGTCGTTGGGGTTTCAGGCAGAGCAGGAGGAAGTCCGATCGATCAGCCCCGTCGTCACGCGTATATTTTCTGTCGAGGTTTGCTGGCAACGTCGGAGGCCCTATCAACTTTCGGGGTGCATTGGTCGAGTGGGTCGAGCTCGTTGGTGAGCTGAGGAGGTCTAAATCCACAAGGGTTGTCTGAGCCTGGTTTGATCATGGGCGGAGTGGCCTTTTGGGCCAATGATGGAGACTGTGCAAAGAGGTGGTTTGGGCCGAGTAGCGGGCCACTATAGGCCCCGACCGTTAGACCATTCAACTCCAGTTGGTCAGGCATGGGAGGAGGGGCTGCCAGACTATTGGGTCGGGTCGATTGGAAGGGGTTGGGATCCTAAATTGGATTACAAGTAGCAAAAAGTGGGCGGACATGATCCAATATGTTAGAAACCGTATCGCACCGGCCGATCAGATGAGAATATCAAGTACCAAATCCCAAATCAATAAGTTGTTTTACCGGTATAAATGAGTGAATTATGGTTTAACTATATTTTTAATACAAAATGCCCTACCACTAAAATGTGTTGGGTAACTTCTTATGCACACAAATCACAATACTGAACTGGCTCCAGAGATATTGCTTTAACAGCTTAACTCTTGGCTTTTGCTTTAAAATAGAAAGATATGGGCCACTCACACAACTTTGCATTTGGTAATCTTTCTTTAACTTGCTTTGGCATAATAATATGGCTTTACTTTAAGTTAGTTCATGAATCATCATGATAATGAAGATTATAAATATGTGGGTTTGGTTGATAGTTAAGTGGCCCCTTCCCCTTCCACCTTTTCTACAATATTTTGTGGTTAAATTGCTGCCTTTTGTATCGATGGGTTAGCAATTGCAAATTTGCAATGTTGCTGTGTGGTTGTTGAGTGCCACTACCATAACAGCTCGAATAAATCCCGCTAATAATGTGCTTCTTTTTATAAAATATGGGTAAAGTATATGCTTGTTTAAGGTCCCGGCCATTTGGCACAAACAAAAATATTCAGTATTGATAAGTGATAGTCATCTTGATAATATATATATATATATAAAAAATGTCACAAATATTCAGTATTGATTTTTAAAATGACAACCCTCTTGTAAATATTAGTGAACTAGCGTGTGCCTCGGCCATTCGGCCGGAGGAAGGTGAGGTATGAAATTTAATAATGTAATGGGGTGTATAGCTTATTGTTGTATAGTTTTTTTTGGGAAACACGTGATAAAAATAGTGAATTTTAGTAGGAAAGAGACATGAATGATGCTACGAATAAAAAATCAGCCTTATGAACCAAAATCAAGTATCTGTTACCTTGTGAAATAATATTGTTTCTGGTAATATGATGAGATGGAGTAAGTTTTATAGAAACCAAATTCCAGAAAATCGAATAACAAATCGGCTATCCCGCAGGTTTTCGGGAAATGAGCATCTCACAATCGTTGCTAGCTTTTACTCGGCTCGTTGGCCGATTAATTTGCTTTATAAACCTTTCATCTTGTCATCATTGTGCTTTCTGGTTTTTTGCCAAGCCATGATAAAATCTAAAGAAATCAAGAATGAACAATACGATTTGGGATAGGAACCACCGTTCCTGTATCCCTAGAAAATGGTGGTAAACACGAACTCACCTGCCAAACTGGTTTAGATTGAGACTTTTATCGGGTATAAGGGAACCATGTGATTATAAATTAGACTTGATCAAAACAGGCCAAAACTTGAAATTCAGTCTGTTTGACCTACCCATGCCAAACTCTAATTATTCTTTACTTGTAAACTTTCTATTTGAAAATAAAAACTAATGAAAGAAAAGAGATGACTGCAATTCGCCATTTGCACATCACTGATTCGGGAATAAAACTATAGAATTTCGAAAGGAAACTGAAAATGTTTAGGATCGTTTTAATGTTAAAAATAACCAAATAGATCTTTCTGTTTAGTTTTTTACTAACAAATACCAAACGATTCCCTATAATATACACTATAATTTAATCATTATGATATCAAATAATTACATAATATCTATTTGAAATGATAAAAATTGGAATAATTGGGTTGGTCGATGTTGAACCATTGAATAACTTTAGAATACACTATATTTTAGCCACTAAGATATAAAATAATAGCATAATATACATTATGCTAGAGAAAATAGCTTGTTTTAGAATGACAAACCCATGATGTTCATTTGTTTTACTTGATAGGCAAATCCCGTGTAGGTCAAGCCCATTCAACTCTGATACATCTACTAATTAAGTAATAATTAACTAATATAATTATCTTGTTAACAAGAGGAAAAAGTAAAAGAAGGAAAGAAGAATTTAATGAAAGAAATTAGATTTGGATTTGGGTGGTCACTCAATTGTATTTTTAGTATTTATTGTCTTGAGTTACCTTTACAATCATAGATAAATTATTTGATTCATGTATTTTTATATTTAAAGAAATATTCTTGGTGGGGCGGGTATGAGTATGGGGCAGGGGAGGCTAAAACCATATCCGCCCATACCCATTAAACTTTTTGCTGGTTTTACCCATATCCGCCCCATACCCAATCAATATAAGAATTTCCCGCATTGATTAGGTCGGGGGCGGTCGAGTACTCACAATGATGAGTTTGATTGACAAACCTAACTGTCACTGAAGGATGTTCGGAGAGAATGTTTTGGTCACATAAGGGCTGATAATAACAGAAAGTGGATGTTCGCCATCTACAAACCCTAGTAAAAGCCCATTGCTTCAGCTAATTTCCGAGTTCTAGTTCTCTATGAGTCGACAAACAACCATGTGAAATTTTTTCATCCATACGGGAACCACGATTTCCATACCAACTCTACCATTATTCAAAACTGAGATATCGACGTTCAACTTGTGCATGCCCAGATCTTTATCGTTCCCAATGTTAGCTAGGAGCTCGAATTGGTCGAGGAGCGCCACCAATAGGTTGGGTTGGAGAACCAAAGTGTGGACGTTCAACACATGTGGTATTTCAAAATAGGGTCAATACCTTATTTTGGTTCGAACTATAATTATATAATCAATTTTGGCACGTGATTTCAGAAATTAACATCCTGTCCTCAACTATGCAGCATATAGACTCAATTGGCCCGACACATGGTTTGAACGTCAATTTGGACAGTCAACACCGTTGACCGTTAGTCAACACGCCATGTCAGCCTAAAAATCATTAAAAATTTTAAATTATTTTCCTTATTTCTATTATTTATCATTTTCAAATTAACCAAAAAATAAATTTTTTATTTTATTTTTTGGGATATTTGAAATCGATAAATTTTATAAATTTAAAAAATATGATAAAAATTATATATTTATTTTTGGATAATTTTAAAAATATAAAATAATTTGATAATTTTTGGTTAATTTATAAAATTTATCATTTCCAAATTACCCAAAATTAAAGTTTTTTTTTTATAATTTTTTTTGTTACTTTGATAATAAATAATAAAAATTAAATAAATAATTAGAATTTGAATTTTTTTAATGATTTTTAGTAGGGGTGGAAATTGGGGTGAGTGTGGTTACCCACCCAACATTTTGCGGGTAACCACACCCACAAATATAGAATTATGCTATCCACAACCCGCCCCGCGGTGGGTAGTGGTTAACCACTACCCGCTGCGGGTGGTGCGGGTTGGTTGTGGATATCCACAAAAATTTCACATTAAATATAATAATATTGTAATTAAATAGTGATGTTGTATTTCTTCTCACAAAAAACAAAAACATACATAAAAGAAAGTTAATAAAGTGTAAAATAAATTATAAATCTCGAATACAATAGGTTAGTTAGTGTAAATTCAGAAGAGATGGATTTGGAAAGAGATTTGAAATAACGGAGAGACAGAGTGATATGTTACCAGACTAACATCGTTGCATGTCACGGCTCCTCCGATGGCAACAACAGCAAAACACAAAAGTTGCTCGATAAGTGGAGGCGCCCGCTTTTAATGAATTGATTATTCTCCACTCTCGATTATTGTCTTGTGTTGTTGGTAGTTGGTTGCATGTTGTGTTGTTCGTGAGTTCGTGGAGAAATGGAGATGAGTTTGGGTATCTGATTAACCTTTATCGATTCCCCTCTTTTAACGAATCGATTAATTTATCTGACTATATCTGTGGACTTGGTTTTGTTATAAAATAAACATATACCACAGGGACAATGCTTATATAATTAAAGTATCTCACATGAACATTGCATATTGACTTGGTTTTGTTTTATAGAATAAGTGCATATTTTATTTTGGTAACTACTTTAATTCTTAGTCTTCCAAGTTTCACAAACTAATATAACTAATGTGGTTAATGTGGGTTACAAAGTATTTTGAAGAAATAAATATAACTAATGTGGTTAATGTGGGTTTTGTGGGTAAACCGCTGTGGACCCACAGCCAACCCACTATCCACAAATTGTGGGTATGGGTATCCACAAAGTGTGCGGTTTGGTGCGGTTTGCGGGTTACCCACAACCCGCAAACCAAACTTCCACCCCTAATTTTTAGGCTGACGAGGTAATGACATGACATGTTGACTAACGGTCAATGGTGTTGACCATCCAAATTGACGGTCAAACTCTATGTTGGGCTAATTGAGTCTATATGTTACATAGTCGAGACCAGGATGTTAATTTCTGAAACCACGGGCCAAAGTTGATTATATGGTCATAGTTCAGGCCAAAATAATGTATTAACCCTTCAAAATACTAGCCGAGAAAGATGATATTAATCTAATGTTCCATTATTTATTTTTGGAGCAGATAGAGTACAAAACTTCTATCTACAAAATCAAGAACTCTATTCATCCTTTATATCATGATCTTACTACTATAATTAGACATACCGCACATTCATACTACTGTCATATGAGCATATCATGATACAACAGTGGTAATGATGATATCAACATTTTTTCGCTCAAAAATAAAATTTCATACTATCTTACCATTGTCATACCACTATGTTAAAATTTCATAATAATAACATCTCATCACTATCATACCATGATCTTATCACTATGATAAGACTGACAAATTCTCATACCATTATCATATTATGATATGATATGTTGCTCTATCATACAATTGTCAACGATTGGCGGCTTCACCCAGTACAATCGTCATTGATTATCTTAAGAGATCCTCTTCTCATGGTATGCATCGAGTGCTTCCTGGAGGTGCATGGTTATGTTTACACAATAGACAATTTTATGATTGATAGCCATTATGAGGTATGGATTTGCTAAAAGTAAAATAATAGAAATATCATCTTGTAATAAATCATGATATGATAGTAAGATGATGTACAATTTTTTTTTTGTTGCTAAAAAGGTAAAATAAATATCATCTTATAGAGCACAAAAAAAATTGATTTTTTACGTATAATTTTTGAAATTCGATGTAAAACGAATGAGATATGATCTGTTGAAATTTTTTAGGAGAGTTGGAAAATATTTTAACAACACACTTAAAAACCTCGGCAACCTCAAAAAATGTTCCTCAAAATTCTTTATTTTCCTCTATATCCCTTTATGACGTGGACTATCATATCTCTCATTCTTCTTATAGTTTTATTGATGGATATATAAAAGGAGTTTTGTATCGCAACTTAAGCTTCATTTTTTTCTCCAATTTGTTCCATTTCTTTATGTCATTGCTGCTGTGGAGTAGCTCGACTCGACCTTCATTTCGCTCTTTTTGGGTGTCATTCTTCTGTTTGCACTTCTTTTTCGGTTGCTTCCTGCGGCAGCTGCGCCTTTGCGAAAGTTCATCGATTGCGTCTTCTAAAGAGGCCCTTGCTTTGCTTGCGCCGGTGGTAAAAGAAAGTGCGGCAAGTAACCGTACGGAACGGACCCAGCCCCTTGAAAGTGAGGTGACTTAATAAACAATTAATTAGGCTTAAGATTAGGATTCGCCATCACAAAATCATCACATGAAACTCGGCGGTTTCTGGCTAGATCGAAATCACCAACTTTCGACGTGATGAAACAAGTTTGGGCTTCGAACCCACTCACGAGCAACCGCCATAAATTAAAGAGTCCATATCACTATTTCGGAATTTGTATGCTCACTAAAGATAAAGGTTGTCAACGTTGGTCCGATCGAATAAGTGAATGGAGTTAATGATCATATCACTTTAGCTTGTTAATATATATAAAGCCAAAGTCAGATTATTGTTGCCTAACCCATTTACATCTTATACCCCAAATTTAATTAAATCCCAATTTAGTCACTATAATATATATTTTACATTTTGATACCCCAAATTTAATTTTAATGTAAAATCATTGAAAAATTATGTTTTTGTATCTAAATTTTATGAGATTTTCGTACCTACAATTTTTTAAATTTACATATTGGTCCAATGTTTAGATTTCACTTGAATCCATGAATCCAATCCACCAATCCTTCTGAACCAATCCATGAATCCAATCCACCATACCGCAAAAGAATAAATTTATATTGTACCATACAAGATGTTGTATCACTCACTCTGTGAGAAGATTCGACCATTTTATATTTGCTCATTACGTGAAACATTAAATAAATGATAAAATAGAGAATACTCTAAAATATTGCAAGAGCGAATTTATAAACTCATTTAGTACATTTCGGGGTACTAAACAAACTCATATTAACTGCATGTAACAAAATATGTGACATCTACATAAGCAAGTGTCAATAAATTGCTACGGTGAAAGAGTTGATTGTTGTATTGAGGACCAACTAAAAGAATTGGTAAAAATCTTTCTATCATCTACTTCCTTTCGTTTCATTTTTTACTCGCCTTCCATAACCCTTTTTCATTTATTTCTTTGCCTTCTTCTAACTCTAATTAGTATACTATTTTTATGTATTCCAATCACAAGTATGAACGGGTCCATACACGAGTCACCAATAGTCTAGAGAACGAATAATTGAACAATGAACCACTAACTTTTTCAGCTCAATGTCGAGTCTAAATAAAAATAAATGGTTATTACTTATTAGAAAGTTGTCATTTTTCATTATGGGATTTGAAGGTGTGAAATTTTAAGCGAGTTCCAGTTTGTATTCCGTTTGCTTCTCTCTAGAGTTTTGCTTTTTCACCTGGGCTAGAATTTTCAACAAATATACATGGAATGTTTGGCTATGTATCTACACATATCTAATAAATAGTTTTCATGGTTCTATAAAAAAGTAAATAATTATCATCTTAAATACATACCATAAAAGGAATTAAGCCTCTACTATGCAAATTACAGTTTTGTACCTAAACTTAAGAGATTTTTAAATTTTTAACCTAAATTTTTTTTTTGGCATATAAGTCCTCAGAATATTGATTGAAAATTACATTTTAGTACCTAAATTTTTTATGTATTACATCTTGGTACCTAAACTTTTGAAGTTCTACAAATAGGTCTAATTTTTGTATGTGTAATTAAAACACCATTGAATACATGGGTATTCATACACAACTCATACACATTTAGATAATGGAAGTAAATATCCATACCTTGCCGAAACCCATATACAAACTTCCAAACCCATATATACGTCACTCATACCCTACTCATAATCAATGGGTCTACTTGGATTTAGATAAATATCATTTACTAGCCAAAATTTTTAAGAGTTTTAAAATTGATTTTGACCGCCTTATATCTCTTCTCAGTTAGTATTATATTGTTAAGTCAATATTACTACCAAAACTGCTAACAAAAATTAATTTTAGGTTAATAATACTAACAAAACACCATAACGGGTCACATAATACATGCCCATAGGCCATCTCCATTCCGCGATAAGGCGCGGCATCGCCACCTAGTATATATATAAAAAACAATTCATAATATTATTTATATATTTATAAATTATATTTACATCTCATCTAACAGATTAATTATAACATAAAGAAGATAGAGTGCTAACACTTTCATTAATGGTACTATAGTAATTATCATTTATCTTTTCATTCCTCTCCTTTCCCCCTTTCTCTACATTGGTAATAAAGTTATATATACAAATTACCGTTTTGGTATCCAAACTTAATACATCTTACTATTTAGTGCCTAAAACTAATTTTGTTTACAATAAATCCTAAAAATATTAATGGAAAATTATGTTTAGTACCTAAAAATTTTCTCTCTTACATTTTGATACCTGAACTTTTAAATTTTTTACAAATTGGTCCGTTGTTAAAGAAACTTCTGGGCTACTTTAAGAAACTTGTGATGAGGATTTTGTGGGGTGAATCTTCTCTTCCCCATTTA